TCTTTTGAGTTCCGAATGTGCCACTAATCATCACCAAGGCATTGACAAATTCATGCTCCCTGCTGTCTTTATTACAGAGCTTGTAAAAACATTTTTGTCTTAATATAAGACACGCTATAAACTATTAATTACATTTTTATAATGTCATCCCTGTTTACTTATTACCTATAACAGAGAATATAATGTATGTTTAAAAATTTTTTTATTGAAATGGATTAAATTAAAAGTTTATTTTATTTTTAAATAAAAATAAAGTTAAATAACCTAACTAACACTTTTTGATTGTGATGAGGTATTTGTAATTAAGTACTCCTTCCATTCCTATATATAAAATATTTTGAACTAAATCATACAAATTAATAAAACTTGGTTATCTAATTAAAAATATAATAATATTTTAATTTTACTCTTAATTATTTTAAATAAAAAAAACTCTTTTTTCAAAGTAAATTAATGAGAACATTTATCTTTTTTAATTTGATAAGGGCATAATGGTCTATTTACTAAAAAAAGCTAACAATTTAAAGATAAAAAAATTTTTAGAAGACTTTTTATATATAAAAATAAAAGGAGTATTTTGTAATGGAAATAGGAGGGACTAGGTGCTCCAGTATTTTTCGTATCAAATGCGTTTGCATGACAGAAAAATGCAAATAAAACACACTAAAAAAATACTCAAAAATCAATGGCTTAGCTACTTGGCCTTTCTTTCTTTCTTTCTTTCTTTCTTTCTTTTTTTTTTTTTTTTTTGCTCACAAACGTTTTTTGAAATTTCACTAAAGATAAATTTGAAGTATTATTAAAGAAAGCTCACCGAACCTTTAGGTTGTTCGTTCAGCCATTTGAATGGAGAATCCAAAGAGTTCTCATCGTGTCTCTTTTTAAACTCGCAAGGCGAGAATGGGCCAATATCGATAGCAGGAGGAAGTAAATTTTTTAGTATTTCTCCGCCATTAATGGCCTCTATTGAATCTGGTTCAAGTTGTTTGTCGGAGTTAATCAGAACCCCATCTAGTTTCACGAGGTTGGCGCTGTCCTGGAACAACATGTTGGCGAAGAGACTATCGGGCACAAGAAGCGGAGGAAGGATGGAAGATCTGGGGATGGGTGAAATCCCAGGAATGGAAAGAACATCATCATGATCAGAGAATGAAGCTTTAGGGAAATATGAGAAGAAGGAGAGGAATTTAACAGAGGAAGTGAAGAAAGGAACAGAAAGAGCATAAGTGACGGGAATGACCGGAGAACAAGGTTGCGTCGAGAACGAAAGCCCGGGGGGGGTTCGAGGGAGAGAATGAGAGGAGAGAGAAGGTGAGAGGATCAGCGAATAGCCTCAAACCGTAGCCAGAAAGGATCGGAGGAGTTAACGGTGGTTGGATCGAGAGGCGGAAGGCGGAAGTCAACGAGTTTGACTTGTGGAATGGTGGATCCGAAGCGAGCTAGAAGCTGTGATTCGGCGAGTGACACGGTGGGGCGAGTGGTGAGGAGAGTGACCAATACGCCGTTGTGGGCGAGAAGAGACGCAAGTCTGAGAAACGGCGTGAGTTGGCTCGTGCCGGCGACTGGAAGGAGCGCCACGTGAACATGAGAATCAGACATGTTTGGTCTATCCATCTTCTTGGGAAGTGGTGGTTCGAGATGAGAGGCTGGGGGGCTTTATTTTTATATAATACTTGCTATGCTTTTTATTATAAAAGATTTTTAATTGTTTTGTGCATATTAAAAAAATAGTTTCTTCATATAAAAAAATAAAATATACTTTTATTTTTATTTTTTTTTTAAATAATAATATATTTATATTAAACATTTTTATGTTAATTAAAAAATAATTTAATTATTATAAAATATCATACATTTTAAATTAAAAATTATTTTTAAAAGGTGTAGGTAATATTGAAGGGAGTATACACTGAATTACCGGTCATCACTGAAGTATTATGTACTACTCATGTCAGTCAGTCAAACACTGATGTGCATGCTATGGACAGTTGGACGCGTATTTTCAAGTTGTGTGGCCGTTATCTAATTAGTTAATAATAGGGAAAGTCACATAGAAGGACCTCTAGAAAATTTTATTTATTGAGAAGAATTAAATGATTATGAATTCACACAGGATCAATAAATCAAAATGTAATTAAATTTTAATATAAAAATATAAAACAATCCTTCACTAAAAAAAAAAAAAAACCTTCTCGTTATCACTCGCTGTTGGAGCTAAGACATTGTTGGTTGGATCATCTTGTCGGATAGACCATCGAAACTCTAATGTTGGTGGTTGGAGTACTCGTCAGAGCTTTGGCACTGATTATCGAACCGGTAAGGGAGACATATTAATTTTTTTAAGGTGATCAAGAAGGAGTTTAAACCCACATTATAATTAGCCACTAATTAGCCACTAAACTAATAATTTTTTGTATTTATATAATGTAAATATATATATATATATATATAATTTTATATTTACTTTTCATGACAATATTTATCAAGAGCTTAATGACTACTTATTAAACTACTAATGAAACTTGTTAAAAAATTTAATAGACATTAATTTTTATAAATATTTAGTTATTTTTATTGCTATGAATGACAAGTCCCCATTAGTAATAACTATTTTTGAAATAACAAGTCCTCTTATTAATTTTAATTTTTTTCTTGACAACTTTATAAATAAATTTTAGTTAAATAACAAGTTGTATGAACTTTGCTTTAAAAAGTAAATATTTAAAAAATTTTAGTAATAAAAATAAGTAAATATTTAAAAAATTACTTTATATATTAAATTTCTGTAACAATTTTTTATTGATAATTTAATAAGTAATTATTTGTGAAATAATAAAGGCTGTTATATTTTAAACTTTGCTTTTACTCTTCATATCAATACTTATTGGGAGCTTAATGATCACTTGTTATTTTATAAATGGCTACTTTTTAAATTACTAATGAAACTTATTAAAAAATTTAATATGAACTAATTTTTATAAATGTTTACTTGTTTTTATTATCAAGAATGACAGGTTTTTATTAATAATTTAATAAGTAATTATTTGTAAAATGACAAGTCTCCTTATTAGCGTTCAAAATTTCTCTTAATAATTTGATAGATAAATTTTAATAAAATAATAAGTTCATATAAGATTTTGTTGTACAAATATGAATTTGCTAAATAAACAATGCAAATCTTTATATATATTTTAAACTTTATTTTTACTTTTCATGTCAATACTTATTAAAAGCTTAATGGTTACTTATCATTTTAAAACTGACTACTTGTTAAGTTATTAATAAAACTTGTTAAAAAATTAATATGCATTGATTTTTATAAAATGTTTACTTGTTTTTATTACCCAAAACTTACATATCAAAAGCTTTTGTAAACTTATTATTTTGTTAAAATCTACTTCTGAAATTATGAAGAGAATTCTTCAACACTTGCAAACGGACTTATTATTTCACAAATGGTTAAATTAGTAATGGGAACTTGTTAAATAAATTTAATATGAAATAATTTTTATAAATGTTTATTTATTTTTATTACAAAAAGCTTACATGTTAAAAGCTTATATGAACTTGTTATTTTATTAAAATTTTCTTTTCAAATTATCAAGAAAAATTTTTAAAATTAGTAGCAAAACTTGTTATTTCACAAGTGGTTACTTATTGAAAGCTTTTGTGAACTTATCATTTTGCTAAAATTTACTTGTTATATTATGAAGAGAAATTTTCAATACTAGCAATGAAACTTGTTATTTCATTGATGGTTACTTGTTAAATTAGTAGTGAGGACTTACTAAAAAAATTTAATTTGGAGTGATTTTAATAAATATTTGCTTGTTTTTATTATCAAAAGCTTATATGAGCTTATTATTTTACCAAAATTTTCTTGTCAAATTATTAAAAAAAAATTAAAACTAATGATGAGAATTATCATTTCACAAATGATTATTTATTAAATTGTCAATAGTTATTTGTCATTTCTAGTTATAAAAATAAATAAACATTTACAAAAATCAATGCATATAAAATTTTTTAATAAGTCCCATCAATAGTTTAATAAGTAGTCATTCTTAAAATAACAAGTAACCATTGAGCTTTTGTTAAATACTAGCATGGAAAGTGAAAACAAAGATATGTGTGAATATATATATATATATATATAAATTTGTATTATATAATTGAAAGGAATTATTAATCTAATAGCTAACTATCTTTTTTGTGGGCAAAAAGATGTGGTTCAAACCCCACCTGGATCTTCTAAAAAAAAATTAATTTGTCTCCCTCATGGGTCACTGAAGCTCCAATGGCTAGTGTAATCACTGGTGGTTAGTGACAGTAAGGATCTTTTTAAAAGTAAGGGGTAAATTTTCTTTTCACACTCAAATTTAATTATATTTTAGGCCCTTAATTTTGCAGTGAATTCAGAATCCTGTGATTTTTCTTGGTAAATAAAATCTTCAAAATTCCATCACTGAGATTTTCCCTTAATAATATTTGTGTTATGGGGTATTAAGAAAGATAGAACAATCTTTCTTTACTGTATAGGATGAGTGAGTTTGGCCAATAATGAGTTTCCTGCTGAGTTTTAGTTAATTATGTCAACAGTGATTACATTGCAAATGACTTATTAGTCCAGCGGCATCAATGCACCTTTGAATGAAGAAAGTGCAAGGTGTGTGAATGATTTAATTTTAAAAAATAGACATTACGATAAGGCCCGTTTAGCTTATTTTAAGGAAAAAAATCATTTAAGAGTTAAAAGCAAAGGATTGACCACATTAAGGAGATATTTTGTAAGTTAACTGGTGCATCATGTTATTTATAATTTATTTAATAAAAATATAATATTTAAATGATATTAAATATAAATTAATTTTAACATTAATAATAATATAAAAAGATAAAAATAAATATACATTCAATTATTAGAATAAAATTAATTAAAATAATATCATATAAAAAATTATTTATTTGTAAAAAATTAAATATTCATTCTGTGAATAAAATTAATTAAAATAATATCACATGTAATTTTATTTAAGCGATTTAAAACATTCTACTTATACAAACCACAAATTACCTATCACACCTTGTATCTAAGAATTTCTCCCAAATTGTCATAAACTTGCAAAAGCTTTCTAATCCCACTAATTTTATTTTGGAAATAGAACGTGAATACAGACGGAAATAATCCAATTGTTCCCATTTCCTACTAATCCAATTCAATCCGACGATATTACTATTTATTTTATTATTGAAAAAAAGCGCTAATTTGACCCTCTTAGCTCTCAAGCCGTTGCAGAAGTATTCATCTTCTTCTTCTTCCATTCTCCGATCAATCTCTGAAGCGCAACGTGGCTTGTCCCTCCATCACCGACGGCCTCCCTCGCTGCGTCTCTGAGTTGTTCTGCGGATTTCTTCAGAGATTCATCGTTCATCATGTCTTTGATTCTCTTCCCAATTTCCTCTCCCTTAACTTCTTGACCCCAACCCCACTTCTCCTCCCACACCCCCAACCCACTCTTCTCCACCACGTCTGCGTTTATCCTCTGATCTCCATGCTGAGGCCATGCCAGAATTCTCACTCCGTACCAAGCTGCTTCGGTCACTGAGTTCCATCCACAGTGGCTCACAAATCCTCCCACAGATCGATGACCCAGAATCTGTCTCTGGTCCACCCACGTCTTCACCACCAGACCGTTCTTCTTCAACTTTCCTATGAGTTCGCGTCCTACTATTTCTTCTACTTCCTCTTCTTCATCTCTGTCCACTGATTTGTCCTTCACTATCCACAGAAATCTGCACCCGCTCTTCAGCAACCCGTCTCCTATTTCTCGGACCTGATCCCTTTTCATGGCCGTTCTGCTGCCGAAGCTTACGTAAACCACCGAATCTTGAGGTTGTTCGTCGAGCCACTTCAATGGAGTAGCCACTGAATTCCCATTATCCACATTTTCAAACTCGCACGGCATGAATGGACCGATATCGAAAACAGGAGGAATCAATTTTCTGAGTATTTCTCCGCCATTAATGGCCTCTATTGTCTCTGGTTCTAGATTTTTGAAGGAGTTAATCAGAACACCATCTAGTTTCGCGAGGTTGGCGCTGTCCTGGAAGAATATGTTGGCGAAGAGACTATCGGGCATGAGAAGCAGAGGAGGGATGGAAGATCTGGGGATTGGTGAAATCCCAGGAATGGAAAGATCATCATGATCTGAGAACGAAGCGGTAGGTAAATATGAGAAGAAAGAGAGCATTTTAACAGAGGAAGTGAAGAAGATGAAGGAAGGAAGTGAGAGAGCATGAGTGACAGGAATGACAGGAGAGATCAACGTCATATCGAGAACGAAAGCAGAGAGAGGGGGCTCGAGGGAGAGAATGAGAGGAGAGAGAAGGTGAGAGGATCGGCGAATAGCCTCAAACCGGAGCCAGAAAGGATCGGAGGAGTTGACGGTGGTTGGATCGAGTGGCAGAAGGTGTAAGTCAACTAGTTTGACCTGAGGAAGAGAAGATCGGAAACGAGAGAGAAGCTGTGACTCGGCGAGTGACACGGCGGGGCGAGTGATGATGAGAGTGACCATGACGTCGTTGCAGGCAAGAAGAGCCGCAAGTCGGAGAAACGGGGTGAGGTGGCCCATGCCGGCGCTGGGGAGGAGAGCTACATGAGCATGAGATTCAGAAGCAGACATGTTGGGTCTGAATCTCTGATCGATCGCGTTCGTTTTCCGCGGTCTGAGTTGTTCTAGCTGTCTAGGTCAGTAGTTTATGGAGTGATTCTCCTTCACAGGAGAGAGTATTGAAGTATTTTGGGTCTCTCCTCGTAATAAAATAAATGATCCAAATTTATTTATTTTATAAAATAATTATCATATAAAAATAAAAATAAATGGAGATACGGATGAGGAGAAGAAAAGAATAGAAGGGATGAGGAGGAGATCTCCTTCCGAGTATTTTAGCATTTTATTTGTTTTATTTTCGTCAAGTTGGAATAATTTATTTTCGCATTTAAACATTTAATATAAATGGTTGAGGAAGTGGGAAGAAGAGGTTATCCAGGAAAAGAGAGATTGGTAGCCACCTGTTGCATGAGGTTTCGGTGGTTGAAGTCCGTCCAACGGTACTGACGAGTGGGAACTGTGAAGAGATAAGGCGATTTTATTAGTAGCTAACTAGCTGTCAAACGCTATCTTTATTGTTTCGTAGACCGGGCTATCCGGGTTGGACCGGATTGTACAGGATCGTTTTTTGGCGCAGCCCTGGACTGCTGCAAATAAGAAAGGAAAAATTTTACTGTAGATCTGGATGAGAGATAATAATAGTACCAAAAAAAAAGCACTTGAATTTCTGAAATTTTACCACAAATTTAGGATATTTAATTGAAATTAAAATTTTTAAAAAAATGATAAAATTATTTCTATTAAAATTCTTTATTAGTATGACTTGTTCATATTTTTAGCATGTATTGCTCATTATCTTTTAAATTATTATTCATTATCATATTTTACTTTTCATTGTAATGCTTTCACTTGAATTAATTTCAAGTGTTGCTTTCATATTATCATGACTTACTCATGTTCATATTATATGTGTTTCATTATCTCTTATATTATTGTTCATTGTTTTACTTCATTTATTCATTGCAACACTTTTATTTGAATTAATTTTATGTGTTGCTTTTATGTTAGCATGATTTGTTAATGTTTTTACTGTATGTTGTTCATTATTCTTCAAACACTTGTTCATTATTATATTTTACTTGTTTATAAACTTACATATTTATAGTTCATTTTTTTGTTAAATTTCTTTTCTCTTTTAACAGGGACAATCTTGTCATTTTTTATATAATTTTAATTTTAATTTAATATTCTAGACTTATGGTAAAATTTTAGAAATCAGAAATTGTCTTATTTATTATCGTTGGTCCAGTCATTTTCAATAAAATTTTCCCAAATAAGAAACTTGCATATCCTTTTGCACGTAATGCAGCACATGACAAGCAAGTCTCTTGTGTACTAGCACTATACATATAAATTTATTCTGGATCTCAAACACTGCCAACAATTGAACGTGAAGGAGGGGCCCATTCATGATTGTGTTGGCTGTGCCCTGCAAGTTTTAATTCACAATTTTTTTTTTAATACGCACATTGAGGATAGAAAACAATAGTATGAAAATATACTAACGGAATTGTGTTTAGCGCAAATGACTGGTATCTTATAATATGATAAACCAGGATTTGAAATTCTATCCAGAGAACTGAAAAGCACCTACATTTATGTCCAGTCATGACTCAAATATACTTGTCTCCAAAAAGAAGAAGAAGAAGAAGAAGAAACCAGTGTATAATAAAAAATAATAAGGTGAAATTAAGCCACAGCAAGAAATTAATTTGAGTACTGATATCGTGTCAATGTGTTTTTAGACTTTTAGTGTGGCGCAGTTAAAAAAGCCAGTCACCAGAAATCTCTAACTCACGATCGTTTAGTGCTTACTCTCTCCATTTCTATATATAAAATATTTTTTTTAATTTTTTATCTTTAAATATAAGAAATTATTAGCATATTTTTTAATAAATGAATCATTATATCCTTATTAAATTAAAAAGAGAAAAAGATAAATATACTCATTAATTTACTTTAAAAAAACTTATTTTTTATTTATAGTAATTAAGGACAAAATTAAAATATTATCATATTTTTAATTAAATAACTCATTTTTATTAGTTTGTGTGATTTGATTAAAAATATCATATATATATATAAAAATGGAAGGAGTAATAGTTTAGTTGGACACCCTAACAGGATCAATAATTAACGATAATATATCGGCATCCGCTATTCCGCTGGTGTAATTAAGCCACCACAAGAAATTAATTTGAGTATTAATATTGTTTCAATGTGTTGCCACGGGATATTTTATTTAGTTTTATGATATAAAATTTTCATCCAAAGTCCTATAATTTTGGTTGGTTAATAAAATAATGTGCGATTTCTGAGTCTTCTATTTTATTTTTTCTTTCACGGAAAGAATGACACCTTTCAACGAAATTGAAGTACAAATATAAACACAAACCACTGAGATCAAGAGCGGACTAATTATTATTTTTTAATTTAAAACTTGCATGTAATTCTCACTTTTCTTTATTTTTTATTAGTATTTTTTTGGGCCACATCAAGCCCTTTCATGATTACTTCATCAGTTCATCCCCTTCTATAATCAATAATGCAAATGTATTTGGGAATCAGATTTCCTATAGTGTCATAGTGACTTGTAGTAAATTTCAAATAAAATTAATATGGATTTCAATTTTTATTTAATATCCATATTAATGAAAGCATGCTATTAAATTTTCGATTTTGTATTTATACTATATAAAATAATTTTTATAAATAATATTTAGCTTCAAATCGGAGCCAGAAAGGATCGGAAGACTTGACGGCGACTGAGAGACCCGCAAGTCAGAGAAACGGTGGCCCACACCGGCGCCAGGGAGGAGAGCCACCGGAGCATGAGATTCAGAACCAGACATGTTGGCTCTGTTCGCTTTCGTTTTTCGTCGTCGAGTTATCCTCTTGGTCTAGCTGTGGTTCTAGTAAGTAGTTGCCTCTGCTAATGATTTTTTTAAAAATATTTTTAAAATGAAAAACATAGTATAAATCATAAAATTTTTTAATAAATTTGTTCACCCGTATGAACGATCCAAATTTAAATTAAATAGCTCACATTTAATATTAATTTTTTATAAATAGACTTTTTAAACATATTTTGTACAGTATAGATTTAACATTAAATTTTTTTATAATTTTTATAAATTAAATATAAATCATTCATATTAAATCTGAACTGTTCAAACTAGTAAATAGATTTATTAATTTTTTTTATAATTTATATAAATTTTTATTTTTAAAAATTTTAAAATAAATAATAAAAAATAACATTAAATCTAGAGATCCAGATTTATGGTATATTTATACTTTTTATTATTAAATAAATTTTGTAACAAAATAGTTTTAAATTTTTAATATTTATGTGATAATAAATTATATTTTTTTTGTTGTTATCACATATATTCTTCCATTGAAGGTGACTAATTTAAGATACTTTGGGTGTTAAATGTTGACACTTTTCTTAATAAAAATTCATATCTTAATTCATTACACGACTACTTGAATATGGAGACAACATCTACTCCTTGAAGCACCAGATCAGAAAATTTAATTTGCGTTTCGTGGAAGCAACATATGAAGACACATGTTCTCCTTCATGCACGGTAATGCCACATGAACCATCTGCATGAACGGCATGCATGCACTATCCTTGTGCGGTAGCTAGCCGACCCAATCCAAATGAAGAGAGAAATTTTCTAAAAAGATGCTGAAACTTTTCCACATGGAACTTCCTGCTCATTACATAATGAATGGAAGAGCTATAAAACTCGTCAATTTGCATGAATCATTTCCAATAAAGGTCTGTCTTTGAGTGCTCTTGCAAGTCTTCTAACAATAAGGAAAGCTCAGAGCAAACATGCAGCGATGTGTCATCAGCATGAAACTCTTGAACTATACCATTCACCTCAACCCAACTACAACCAGGCTTTCTTCTAAACCTACGAGCCCTCATCAGCTTCCTTATTTCTAATGCCTCTTTCCACATGTTGGCAGCATGATACACATTCCACAGAAGCATATAAACGCCAACATCACTTGGCAATAGCTCAATCACCTTCCTTCCTACTGTCACAGCTAACTTCAAATTTCCATGGGCTAAGCAAGCTGTGAGGAAGCACCTCCAGATCGCAGCATCAGGTTCAATAGGCATGAGCTCAATCATCTGTTTTGCTTCTTCCAGAAACCCTGCTCGGCCTAACAGATCCACTAAGCATCCATAGTGCTGAATCTTTGGTTTCAAATGATGGTAATGAATCATTCTGCGGAGCAACATTTTCCCCTCGAGAACTAACCCTGAATGGCTGCAAGCTGTCAAAAGTGACAAAAGGGTTACCTCATTTGGAGTAACCTTTGATTCTAACATCTGAGAGTACACCTCCAGAGCATGTTGTCCTTTCCCATGATATGCGTACCCTGATATTATTGTCGTCCATGAAAATACATCCTTTTCAAAGATCTCGTCAAATATTCTTATAGCCATGTCAAGCCTCCCACTTTTAGAGTACATATCCATCAAAGCATTCTTCACCGTGACATCCCGGTTGAGGCTTGTTTTGTCAACATTTCCATGGATGGACTGACCAAAATTAAGAGCACCAGTATCGGCACATGCAGAGAGCACTGCCACAATTGTAGCTGAACTTGGACGATCCTCCATTTTCTGAAAGAGCTCAAGAGCTTGAACTGGATTTCCTCCTCTAACATAGCCAGTGATCATAGCCGTCCAAGAAACAACGTTTCTCTCAGGCATTTCGTCGAACAATTGACGTGCAGAATGCAGATCATTACGCAGGATATAGCCATTAAACAAGGTAGTCCAGGAAAAGATATCCTTTATGCTCTTCCTTTCAAAGACCAACACAGCCACTTCAATTTTCCCATTTCGACAATACATGTCAATCAGTGCATTACCAACAATAGGATTCACGTCCAAATGATTTCTCAAGATCATCCCATGAATGGCCTTCCCTCTGATCAAATCCTTGCCACGTCCACATGAAGATAACGCTCCGACAATCAAAAAGCTGTCGGGTCTGAATCTGCTGTTTATGTACTGGGAAAAGACGGCGAGGGATTCGGCGGGAAGATTACAATGGAGATAGAGATTAAGGAGGGATGTCCAAGACACGACGTCTGGGCGTTGAATCTGGTTGAAGACATTTTGAGCGTCTAGAGTTTTGCCCAAATTCTTGTAAGTTTCTAGAAGCTTGCAA